GCTGACTGCAAGCTCAGGTTCCCCACAGGCTGCACGCCAGGGCCTCAAGTGTTGTGTCTCCCGTGCTACACGTGTTTACCCTCTGTGTGTTCCACTTTTTTGCTTCCACCTCCTGGAGGTGGGAGGATGGAACCAAGGCCACGTCAAGATGAAGGCCTGGGACTCCTGCTGCGCTAGGAGGGCTCTTCTCAGCAGCTCCCAGGACCTGCTGGTTGATGCAAAATCATCTCCACTTCAGAGTGTTTTACTTTCCCAGGGTTGTGTAATGAAGTATGTCAGACCAGAACAACAGAAGTTTACTCTCTCAGGGTTCTGGAAGCTGGAACTCTGGAGCCCAGATGTGGGCAGGGCTGGCTCCTTCTGGAGCTCTGAGGGAGAAGCTTCTGGTGGCTGTCGTCCATCCTTGGTGCTCCTTGGCTGGTGGCAGCATAACTCCAATATCTACCTCTGCCTTCCTGTGGCCTCCTCCTCTGTGTCTCTGCCTCACCTGTGCCTGTGCATCTCTCCGTGTCCTCTTCTTATAAGGACACCGGTTGCTGGGACTTCCCTGGCGGTCCGTTGGATAAGAATCCACGCATCCATTGCAGAGTCGGGGAACTAAGCTCCCACATGCCGCATGTCATGCAGAGCGACCAAGAAATAAAAAAAGACACCGGTCGCCGGAGGGGCTGCCCATCTCACACATTCTCAAAGGTCAGGTGGGCCACCTGCTTCCTGCTGCAGTGCCCTTCTGCTTCCAGGATGAGTCTGGGACTCCACACTCCAGCTGGCCACTGTCTACTTGTCCGGTTTCATCTCCCGCTGTCCACGCTGTACTGATGGGCAGGGCTGTCACAACTTCTATGCCTTTGCAAAGTCTGTCCTCTCAGCCTGGAAGGCCCTCCAGGCTGTCACTCGCCCTCCTGCTGTTCCAGCTGAAAAACTTACTCTTCCTGGAAGCCTCACCCCCCGGGGGAGGGCTACCCTGAACGCTGCGGCCTTTCATGCCCAGCTGTGGCCCCGTGTGTTCCTTCCTTCAGCATAACATGTAACACAATGCATACATTTGTTTCGTTACATCCATCTCTCCTCCAGACTGAGCTCCTTCAAGGCAGTTTTCTTATGAGTCCCTAGCATGTTATATAGAAGTTCATCCGCAGCTGCTAAATGGCTGTAAAAAACATTGAGATTCCTTTCAGGCGTAGAGACAGAGTAGCATCTTTCTCATACATGTGTTACATTCTCTGCAATGCTTGGTGTGTAGTTGGCTCTCAGCTGCTTCCGGTTCAGTTTAGTAATTGGGTGGAGAAGCCACGATTAGCAGGAAGCTGGCCGGAGCTGAGGTTCAGTGATCCCCTCCATTCCATGAGTGTAATGACCTGAGGACATAAAATTACCCTGTGTTTTTCTCCTCCAACTCAGATGCTTCTTTTTTTTTTTTGGCTGTGCCTCGCGGCATGGCATGTGGGATTCCCTGACCAGGGATCCGCCCGTGCCCTCTGCAGTGGAAAATCGGAGTCCTAGCCGCTGGACCGCCAGGGAATTCCTCAGATGCTTCCTTTTTTTTTGTTTTAAAAGGCCACTTCAACCTCACCTGGCGCTTCCACAAGGGTCCACTTGCTTACAGGTTTCCCAAGGGAGCAGGCTTATTTATTTTTTAAAAAATATTTATTTATTTATGTGGTTGCACTGGGTCTTAGTTGTGGCTTGCCGGCTCCTTAGTTGTAGCACATGGGCTCCTTAGTTGTGGCATGAGAACTCTCAGTTGTGGCATGCATGTGGAATCTAGTTCCCTGACCAGGGATCGAACCTGGGCCCCCTGCATTGGGAGCTCAGAGTCTTATCCACTGCGCCACCAGGGAAGTCCACTGTGCTTCTTAAATGGGGTTTCATGGAGGGCGGGGGGCGGGGGGCAGGCAGGTGGCACCTTCCATTTTGCTGGTGAGGAAGTGTGGGGAGAGAAAGGGGCAGCCCCTGCCCTGAGGTTCTACAGCCCCAGATGCTGAGGTGGCCTTGGTGAAGGGGTCAGAGCACCAGGGCACTGGGAGAGCCACCGCATTCCCAGTTCAGTCCTGCAATCAAGGATGGGGTCCTGGCGGCAACGGTTGGGTGGGAGAGGGAAGCGTCAGCAAGGACTGGTTCTGGGGCTCCCAGAGGGAGGCAGACCCAGGCCCCTCCTCATGGAAAGTGACCTCTGCCGGCCTTGCAGCTGAATGAAGTTGCTCTCCAGCCTCTGGAACAAGCGCCCTTATTGTGAGCCTCTCTCTTCTCATTTCCAGTCACTTGAGCTTCCCTTCTGTGTCCCTCAACAATGCCACCTGTCACTCGCAGCCAGGTAACACTCAGAGGAGGAGAACTTGAGTTGGATTGTACCTGGGTCTCCAGACTCCCCTTATGGTCTTTCTCTCACTGATTTCCAAGGGCCTCAACCTTGCTCTCTGGACCATCAGCAAATGAATTATTTCAGCTACTGGGTCCCTCCCTGTCTTCCTTGGGGGCGTCTCACAATTACTCAGCTACCCCGCCCTCCTCAGTCTACCTCCCAGCCCTACCCCACCTCTCAGACAGCTGGACCCACAAGGATTCTGGGGCAGCGCAAGGCACCCAGGGCTCAGATTTTAAGAGGGCGCCCACTCTCAGGGCTGTGTTAGTGTCACCTTAAATGTTGTGCCCTGAGTGCCTCACCCCAGTCCTGGCTTGGCGCTGGGCTGGCTACTGATAAAGGGATGGGAGGAGGAAAGGTTAAAAGGAGGGTAGAAGGGAGAGTGCTAAGAGGACAAGGTGGGGAATCTGAAGTCAACAGAAGGGCAGACACTCATGGGCACAGGCGACCAAGGGCAGGGCTTCAAAACGCAACCCCATAAAGCTGTCCTGCACGCAGCCCTGGACCCGCCAGCCTGCCCGCCAGCCGGCACTAGGGAAGGGGCAGCAACAGGAGAAACAAAATACATGCACCCCTTTCTCACTAGGTTTCCCCGAGTTTCCTGTGGACGTCAGAGGTAGGGGGATGTGGGGCAGATCCCCAAAGTGATGAGCCCTCTGCTTTCACTCCCTCCTCCAATTTGACATCTTTTTTTTTTTTTTTTTTTGCGGTACGTGGGCCTCTCACCGCTGTGGCCTCTCCTGTTGCGGAGCACAGGCTCCGGACGCGCAGGCTCAGCGGCCATGGCTCACGGGCCCAGCCGCTCCGCGGCATGTGGGATCTTCCCGGACCGGGGCACGAACCCGCGTCCCCTGCATCGGCAGGCAGACTCTCAACCACTACGCCACCAGGGAAGCCCTGATATTTTTTTCTTGATGTCATGAACCTCACCCTAGCCTTGGTGATCCAGACCCCTAAAATGCCAGTGCCCGAAGAGCCCTTAGAAACGGCTGGTCCAGGGCTTTTGAGCACTTGAACTGTGGCTGGTCCAATCTGGTCAGGGCTGGAAGCATAAAACACATACTGGGCATTTGAGGATGTAGTTTGAAAAAAAAAGAATGTAAAGTAGCTCATTAATATTTTTAAAAATATTGATTACATGTTGAAATGATAATGTCTGGGGTCTCTTGGGTTATGTAAAATACATCATGAAAATTAATTCCTCCTGTTTCTTTTTATTTCTTTTAATGTGGCTGCTAGAAAGTTTAAATTACACATGTGGCTGACCTTCGTGGCTTGAATGACATATCTATGGGACAAGGCTGAATTAGTTCAACTTCCTCATTCAACAGATGAGAAAACTGGTCAAGAGAGGAGACCTGATTTAGCAGATGGCACACACTAAAAAGCACCGTCATTTCCAGTCCCTGACAATCACACACACACACACACACAGGCACACACACAGGCACACGCACGCCTAGGAGCCTGGGAGAGGAGCCTGTGGACTTGAGCTGCAGGCCTCAAGGGAAATGTTCCAGGACTCAAGACATTGGCTGAGGTTTCTTGAGAGAGAGAAATAAAAACCTAACAAAGGTGGAGGCACTGTCTCCAAAAAGTCACCTTTAAAAAGACTGGAAACTTGGGGTGTGAGGAGACGTGAGGAGAAACCCGGGGAGCCCTAGGCCTCCCCGTTCTTTATATGCATAGTATCCCAGGTAGCTGACCAGTGTGCTAACTAAACAGCACCTTAAAAGCACGCAGCGCCCTCCTGCCAGGCAGTGGGGTAGGGCCTTGCCTGAGGCCAGCACCTGGGAGGCAGCCACTCAGGGATTGTCTGACAAGTCAATAAAGACAGGTTTCAGTGGCACTGGCTTGATCATGGCCAAGGAGTGGGCAGCGGAGGGAGGGGGAACCAGACACCAAAGGCAAATTCCTTGATTTCATAATTTTATCTGGCACCCACATTCTCCTCCACCTGCATCATCAAGGCTTTAAGAGAGGTAGGAAAGTAGAGAGGGAAACATCTCCCCATCTCTCTGCACTGGGGCAGCCTTCACGGTGCCCGTCTGGGGACAGCTCTGACCGGCGGAACTGCAGAGCTGACTCTGGGCCCAGGAAGGAGGCTTTCCTTGGCTTCACCTGCCTTGGCTGAGGAGATCCGAGAGGGTGGGCAGCTCCTCCTGTCCCGGGCCTAGCTTCCCAGGGGCCCCAGGCACTGCAAGCTGTCTAGCCCTTGCCCTGGGCGCACAGGAGTGCCCGGAGCAAGGGCAGGTGTGACTCCCTCCTGGAGGTGACAGCAGGAAGGACGGATACTGAGCAGTCCCCTTTGACTCCTTTCTTTACCCCCCCCCACCCCCCGCCCTGGGACGTCCTGAGCTGCTGGTGCGCCGGGTGGGGCGGGCTGGGTGCCTTGGGTGGCCCCTCCCATCACCACCACCACCTACTTCAAGGGTGGCTGTGCTGCTGACGTCAGGCGGCTTTTGGCTCATTCCCTGGCACGGGGACTTTATTTTCATAACAGCAAGCGGTACCGTGGAACTGGAATAGGCGTGTCCTCTACCCCACCCCACCCTGACCCTCCCCCGCCCCTTGTGCCTCTGCTCACCCCTTCTCTCCCTCCTCCCGCCGGCGACAGCCGCCTTTATAACTGCTCCGCGCCGGGAGGGCGGGATTGCTGCCCGTGGTCTCCGCTAGCACCGAGGGGCTCCTGTGCTGCCTCTGTGCGCGGGAAGCAGCGCCAAGTTCACTCGCCAAAGCCAAGGTACCAGGGTAAGTGAGGCGCACTGAGCACAGAACGCGCCCCGCCTCGGGATTGAAACCCTCGGGGGGGGGGGGGGAACGCCCGGTGGGGGTGGGAGAGCGGCGCTGGGAGGGGGGATACAAGAGGAAAGAAACCCTGATAATGGACTGCAGCTGGCTCGGAGCAAAAAACAATCCCAGGAAAGGAATTCCTGTAGTTTAATTCAATTCAGATCCCACACCCCCATCCCATTCCCAGGCTAAGAGGCAGAGAGCAAAAAGATAATCAGGATCAATAGTTTCTGCTCAGACACATTGAACAAACTGAGTAGGTGGAATCCTGGCCCGGCAGGTGAGCAGTTCTGGGATCAGTCTAGGGGAAGAGAAAAGTAGGAGGAAGATCTTAGAGGAATGGCAGGGAATTGCGTGGGTGCGCAGGAAGAGGGAGATGGTGACCACTGCTACTTTCCCCAGGTACTGTAAAGTGTCCATTTATTTTGTCCTTCCACGACAAGTGTGCCCTTCTGAATTTTGGGAAGTAGATTCTAGAAGCCGTCCCTTCTCTTGACGTGAGTGTGGCCCTCAGCTCTGCAGCATTCCCTCCTCTGCTGTCCCTTGAACTGCTCTGGATCCCCTGGGTTGAATGTCCAGTAATAGCCCACTTTCAGGCACCAACCAGATGGGACTTGGGAATGGGCCCAAACTGTCCAAGATGGTCCCTTAAACATCTATGGGGGAAGGAAGGGGAAGCAGCTCCGGTTCAAGGAATTTGAAGGACTTTCCATTCTTGACTTCTTTCCAGATTGATTTTTGCCTCTGAGGGTTTTGTAAACGCCACACCTGTTGAAGGGTTTGGTTGAATCAGCCAGGCCTGTGGGCTCATTCCTGAAGGGGAATACTTGAGCCACTTCAGATAGGAGGGGCCTGGGGAGGGGTAAGGATAGGGGGGTCAGAACTCCACCCTCCGGTCTGTGTGCTGGCTTCTCCTAGGAGAGGGAAGAAATGGAGGGGGGCGGGGAAGGAGGGCCAGCAGAGGTGTCACCCAGGAAAGAGGCTGCTCTGGGGTGTGGAGAGGTAGGTGGGTGCTCCAAAGACAGATGGGAATGAGCGGAACTCAGAACGAGCTAACATTCCAGGGAAGCGCTCTGAGCCTTGAGTCAGGAAGCCTGATTTCTCATCCCAGCTCTGCAGGCCATGTAGCTGTGAGGAGGCCTGGGCTGGGCCTTGAGTTCCTCCTAAGGGGTCTTGGAAAGGCCCCCAGCTCCTTCCCAGGGCTGAGATTCTAGCCCTTCTCTATCTGTATGTGTCTCTTTGGGCGTCCTCATTGGAGTCTGCTTCTTTGTATTCCACTCCTTAGTGGGAATTGAAGGTAAGAGGGCGTGAAGAAGAGTTTTGACTGTGATTTTATTCTCATTCTGGGGGTTTGTCTTCAGGTCCACTGCTATTTAAAAATCCACAGACTGAGCTGAGGAAATGGGTAGGAAATGATGTGTTGGTATGATAGGGCCTTTAAAAACAATGAATCGAATAATAGTTTTGCTTGAGGAGTCTCAAATTTTCTGAGTAGTTTGGTGTTTTTGCTTCTACTTATATTCCTATTTTTATTGCCTGTGGTCAGATTATATACATTTCTGTGCATTATTCCTGTACATTTCTTATTTCAGGCTTTTTTTTTTTTTTTGGTGTGGTCTAGAATATGCTGTTTTTATAAACATTCCATGACCACTTCTATAAAAGAAATCATAGAGAGAGGGCTGGTAAACTACATTCCTGCCTAAACACTTCCCACAGTCTGTTTTTGTAAATAAAGTTTTATTGGAACTCAGTTATGCTCATTGTCTGACTGCTCTCAGCTGCAAACAAATGGTCTGCAAAGCCATTTTCTAAGTTCCTTATTATCTGGTCCTTTACAAAAAATGTTTGCTGATCACAGATATAGAGGATCTGAATTACATGATTAATAGTAGAGATTAATAAAATATGAAGATAGGGCATATTAAAGGATCCATAGAACATTTATAAAAATTTACCATATTACTATTTGCTTTTTCTATTTCATCTGCTGAAGACTGATAAAGAAGTATTAAAGTTTCTGTAACTGTAGTATTTCTTTTGATTTCTCCTTGTATTTCTGGTAGCTTTTGTTTTAGGTATTTTGGTGCTGTATTATTCAGTGCATAAAAGTTTATGATGGTTGTATCTTCAATGTGGAGTATTCTTAATTACTATTAAAAAAGCTTTTAGGTCGATATAATAGCTTTTTGTCTTGACTAAACTTTGTGTGATATTAATAACTCAACTCTTACTTAATTTTCTTACCTTGAGCAAGCTATTATTTAACTTTGTACCTCATACATAATACTTGCTAAATAAACATATCTGTTATTGTTCCTTTTTTTGCACTTATTTTCATTTTTTCCTTTCTTTTGCTTTCAACTTTTCTGAATCTCGTTGTTTTAGGTGAGGTTTTTATAGGTATAATATGGTTTAATTTAGTCTTTTCAAAATAAAAAATTACCATTTACATTTATTGTAATAATAGTTGCTTGCTATTGTCATCTAATTTTTGGCCATGTGGTCTGCTCTCTCTATCTTCCCCCACATTAGATAGTCTATCTTGTAGTTTTAGATACACTAAGTGTATGGTAGTACCATTCTCAGGGTTTAGAAATAAAGGCTTGTAAGGAGAGAGAAGTTTAGCTTGGGAACATAAATATGTTACCTTCATATGTTGAAATAAAATACTTGAAAGAAGGTGACTTTGAGAGCTTTGAGGTGGTATACCAGTAGAGGCCTTCACTTTATCCACCTATTTCCTGGAAATTTCATATCTTAAAATTCTGGGCCTAAGAGATTTAGTAGTTTCACTCAAAATCTTAAGTTAAAAAAGGGGATTTCAAGTATTTTATTTTATATTTCAGTAATTTATCTAAAGTTCACATGCATTGTTTAGAACAGAGGAAGATGGTAATACCTCCAAAAGTGAATAAACTGGGATGAACACTGTTGTTATACTTGTTTATATCTGCCTGTGGTGGAATGATGATTTATTTTCTCCCAGTTACTACATAGAAATTCAACTCAGTGATGTTATTCAGATGTTATTCATAAGCTGTTGCCATGATGCATCACTTTTATGTCATCAGAACATGGATGGCTTACCCAGAAGAGGGGATCCTGGACATTTCCCTGTAGACACTTTCCATTTACAACTAATCCTTCACCTAGGGCAGAGAAATTTCTGTGGGACTCCAGCCTCATCTTAGAGCTCAGCCAGATAAAAATATAAGGGTTAGCATTAGCACATATTCAGCTCCCCAAATTCTTCCTCCCCATTACTCATACTTGCTAATGAATAACTTGCTTTGAGTTATATTCACGCTCAGTTTTAGTCCAAAACATTTGCTCAACAACCACTGTGCAGAGCACATAGGGAGATACCAACAAATAGAAGACTTGCTCTATTTCCTTAAGAAGATTGTTATCTGATAGGCGAGTTAGCACTGATATTAATGTATAATATATGACACATATATGGAAAAACTTGAGCACCGAGAAATACTTAATTGTAAAAACTATGAAGAGATCTACAAATTTAGAATGAGATGGGACTAATAATTAAAAAACCCTCACGGTAGAGGTAAGTTTTGGGTCAAGTTTCTACGAAACATGGTACATGAATTGTGACTAGGAGAAGGGTCTTTCTGGCAAGGAGAATAACGCATGTGATGAGGCAAAGAGCGACTTTGTAAGAGAGGGTCTTAGATGAGCCCCAGTTCCCTTCCAGATAGAAAATACTCTTGGAAGTTTTGCTTACCTTGCACAGATGTGGGGAGGGGAGTTAGGAAACCAGGAAAAAGTGGGTGGGAGGACCAGTTGGAGAAAAGCCTTGAAGCTCACATTGAGGCTGAATCTGTTATAACAGACAAAAAGGCGCTGATATGCTTTTAATTAATATGATTAATATGATATGCTTTTAATTAATATGCTTTTAATTATGCATTTAATTAATATGCTTTAATTATTTATTTATTTTTCTTTCGCTATGCTTTTAAATTGCTAAACCCAAAGATTCCTTCCCACGCCTTCTCTTCTTTGCTGCCCTTGTAGCATTTAACTCCATCAACCACTCTTTGGGAAACTGCTCCTTGACTTCTAGGAAACCAGCCGGACTTACTTCTTGTACTAACCCTGGCAATTTCTTTTGAACAACCTTTGCTGACTCCTGCTTCCATGAGACGGTGTCCCAGGGTTCTGTCTTTGGCTCTCTTGCTGCCGTGCAGGCTCCCTGTGTGATCTGGTCTCCTCCAAAGCCTTCCGACACCTGCTATGAGCCCGTGACCCCCCATCTGTGCTCATAGCCCAAACCTCTCCTGAGCCTCAGACTCACATGTTCAAGCACGCAGGGTCAGCACAATCTGGTGTCGTGGAGCCTGGCTTTTATTTATTTTTTATTTAAAATTTTTTTTGGCCGTGCCACTCGGCTTGTGGGATCTCAGTTCCCTGACCAGGGATTGAACCCGGGCCGTGGCGGTGAAAGTGCTGAGTCCTAACCACTGAGTCACCAGGGAACTCCCAGGAGCCTGGCTTCTAAGAGCCAGGTGATCTTGGGCAAGTTATTTAATGTCTCTGTTCCTCTGTTTCCTCCACTGTAAAAAGAGGGCATAATCTGGCATGAACACACACACACCCCTCACTATATATGAGATAGAAAACCAACAAGGACCTACTGCATAGCACAGGGAATTCTACTCAATACTCTGTGATAACCTATATGAGAAAAGAATCTAAAAAAGAATGAATATATTTATAACTGAATCACCTAGCTGTACACGTGAAACTAACCCAACATTGTAAATCAACTACACTTCAATTAAAAAAAAGATCTTAGTTCCCCGACCAGGGATCGAACCCGTGCCCCCTGTGGTGGAAGCGTGGAGTCTTAACCACTGAACTGCCAGGGAAGTCCTCCCAATTCATCTTAGATTTAACAAAGTTAAACTGGATATCTCTCCTCACGAACCTGTATT